TACAAAAAAAAAAAAAAAAAATCCCAAAACCTTCAATGGGAAAGTGAAATCACATTTCTAGAATATACCAATTAAATGAAATATGTAATGTAAATAGGTGTTTGCATGAATACTGACTAGAGTTGGATTCAGACCCAAAAATATCCAACCCGGCCCCAGCCCGTAGCCATAATTTCTGAACCCCACCCGACTCATTGACTTAATAGTAATTACAGGTCTGAGCCCAACCCCCGACATTTTTAATTAAGCTTTGACAGCTTTATTATTAACGGGCACGCTGCCTTTCATGGCTGTCAAAGCATTAAATTCCTGCTTCCGCCTGCATTCTGCATTATTCACACGTGGACCCTGCTCTGACATGTTTGCTTTGGGGTCTCACCTGTCTGGGTCGTTGGCCGCGCGTGTCCGCTGAATGCAGCGGCTGAATGAACGTCCATTTGGGCGATGGATCGCTTCCTGGAAGTATAGTCCCAACTGAAGCTTAACTGAACTTTATTTGACCTCTTTCAGGACCGGTCAAATTGCCGCATGCAGCTAGTGAAGGTATGGCAAGCAATGTTGCCATATAATTGGTAAGGGAAAAGATACATAAAATCCTCGTAAGGCTCTAAACACTCCCAGGATTTCTTTTAAATCATCAATAAATGGAAGACATCTGGAACATGTGCAAATCTATCAAGAGCAGGCATCCCTCACACACTGAGTAACCTTGCAAGACAGAGAATAGTATGAGAGACCACCACTCTGAAGCTCTGAAGGAGTTACCATCTTCAGCAGGTTGAAATGACTGGGCATACAATAACTGTTTCCCAGCTTCTTCACCAATCAAGCTACAAGGAAAAAGTGGCAATGGATAAATTATTTTAGAAGACTGGAGTCTCTAAATAATCTAAACAAAGTCTTGTCAATGTTTAAAATGTATTCATTTTACATTTTGACTTAAGTTTAACAGTTGTTATGACAAATATATAAAACAAGTGTTTAGGCAGGTTAATAATCCATTTAAAATTATGATTGATGTCATGCCATGCCATACGTTGATGCTGGTGCAGTGGAGAGCATCCTGTGCTCCAGCATCAAGTATGGCATGGAGGCTGCACAGCTGCAGAAAGAAAAGCTTTGCAGAGAGTGGTGAAGGCTGCACAGAAGTCTGTCGGAATCAGCCTCCCCACCATCACAGACATCTACACCTCCAGATGCAGGAAGAGGGCCACCTGCATCATGAAGGACCCCACTCACCCAGCACACACACTTTTTGCCCCACTCCCCTCAGGAAGGAGGTTAAGGAGCATTAAGTGTAGAACCACTAGACTGAGGAACAGCTTCTACCCTGAGGCTGTTAGACTCATGAATCTCTAACTAGAATAATCACTGTGAAAAACCATATCACGTTGCTGCTGATCTGTTTCATGTTGCTGCTGATCTGTTTCAATGTTGATGTGTTCATGCGTGCACATCTGCTCACAGACTCATGTTCATGTTTGTGCTGATGTTCAATGTGTTATGTTATGAGTGCTTAGTGTATATTTAGTTTATGTTTTTCTTGGTTCATATCTTAGATGTTATTAATGTTTTTCTTATTCATTTTATTGTTGGATGTAACTGGGACCTTGTGTACATAATTTCGCTCCACCACATGTACCACATGAGGTGCGAATGACAATAAAGAAACTCTGACTCTGATTGTGTAAGTTTGGATAAACTAAAAATGCCCTCTACAGACTTTTTTCTCAGTTTATGTGCTAAGCTTTTGATCAGTCCAGTAAAACTAAACTTTGTCTTTGGTAATGTGTTGAGGGACACATGAATGATTTATTGTAGAAATAAAAAGTCTGCTGGTCAAAGCTCCCCAAGATTTCCAGACTGTCTTTTGTTTTTATTCCAAGGTCAAGAAAAATCAAAAGGTGAAACACATCTTAGTCTCACCTTTGCCATATGTTTTGGGATTTGTCTGAGGTCAAAGCAGTCTCAGACAAGATATTGGATCATAAAATGTCCAATAAAAACTTAGAAATATATCTGTTCTACTCCTTTTTTATGGCTACAGTTGTGTTGATGTAAAATTGATCTGCAGTCACATCAGGGATGTCAGAAAATGTGTCACTGTTTGTAGATAATCATCTTTATCCTTTAAAAGCTTGTTTTCTTTCGCTTTTTGCTCATTGACTCTGCATGTGCCACTGATCTCATCATGAGAACAAAAGGCTCAGTGATCAAACCTACCTGGTGGATGAAGACCTGTGCACCACGGGGGCTCATGAGCAGCACAGCCCGCCGTAAAGTGTCCCGGTAACGGTTGAGCTCCTCAGTGCGCATGGTGTTGAAGAGGTCACTAAATACCCGACTGACATTGCGGTCCACCCTCTGCAAGGAAATGTCCAGGCCAAGTCGAGACGCCTGGTCCATAAAGGTTTGTAAACCTCGGATATCTAATGGAGGGAGAAAAAGAGAATATGAGGATGTGAAATGGGCAGAAACACTAACAGCGACAGAACTCTTCAGGCAGGTGCCGCCTCAGCCCTGAAGCATTAAATCACAACTATTGGTAAACAGCCTGCACCTTCAGCACCTGCACACGCACATTATATTTTCAGGCTTTGTTCCAAACGCTTCAAGGCAGATTTTATTCTCTGCTCCTGATGTAAAGCGTGACAAAACAACAAGCACTTTTCTCTTACTGTTTCCTGGGGTTTACAGAATATGAAGCTCTAGGCAGGTGTTGCTGTCCCTGCAGAGAACTTTGTGCATGCGTTTAGTTTGAGTATACTGGAAGCCACTTAAAAAAAAAAAAAAAAAAAAAAAACAGGACTGCTTGCACAAATCAAAGGAGATATGCAGCAGAGGGCTCACGATAAGCACAGCAATCCCAGCGGTCACGGGGAGAGCAGCTGCCCAGCATGTGCCAAGTCACGCTGCATTGATAATGGAAGCTTAGGAAAATCACTAAGACCAGACTTTTTTTTTTTTTAATTTACAATGAATGAGAGGGTATATGTGTGCTTTGCAGCGTCTTTGAAGGCGTGATGACTCAACTGCTTTCCTATAGAATATAGCAAGTGGAAGAGGAAAATGTATAGAGCCATAGTATAGCAAACTGGTATATGTATACATGTTCACACTCTTAAACATGTTTACTCTAAAAATAAATGGATGCTGCTTGAGGCCTAAAGCAAACCAACATGTTTTAAATGTGAAATAGAGCTGTATTACCCGAATAACATTGCTGATGCACTCTAGCAGTCAGTGCTATTGGAAAACTTAAATAACAGCAATACCATGTGAAACAAATCAAAATATTAGCTGTCTCGTTTTTTGGCGACTGGTATTGCCTTTTGTTTTGTTGGGTAACCTAGCAGTGGCACCTTGATCCTCCTCAGGAAGAAACCAACGTTCAAAGGGCAGAACAAAATGTGAAATTAAATCATTCATCATTTTGAAGTGTCTCCTCAATTCTCCTACAGCAACATTCCTTGAAAACTTCCTTCATCACATGCAAACACACACACCAGTTTCTTTGGTCTGATTTGAAATGGCAACCCTCAGTGGGATTGTTTGAATACAATAAAACAAGCTCTACCTTTGAGAAATAATTTCTTTTGTTAGAGTAGAAAGCAATTTCCAATTTAATCAGTACTTTATATTCCGTCATAATTTGATTCTTAGAAAAACTTCTAGTTTCAAAATTTACATTTCATTTTTTTTTATTTTTTTTTTATAATAGAGTAAAAATCTGTGGAAGCCACAGATCAGTTCCTAAATTCTGTCATCTCTGGCTGCTTGAATTTAAAAACGGATAAATTCATCTTTTTTTCTACGGGTACATTTAAAAACCAAGAAGCGGTAGTGATCTTTCTGCAAGAATTTTGATATTAGTTCTGCTGTGAGGTCAGCTCTATTGGCATTTGAAACATCCATCATTTGGTGGTCATTCTCAGCCATCCCTTGATCTGCTTCCAGAAAATGGCTGCATCACAAACGGAAAATTACAGAAACACAGACAAGTGAGCAACTCTATACTCCCTCAGCAAGAACCATCGGCATTATGTGAAACCCACAGGGTGAAACTTTAAAACATTTGTGGCAACTCAATACGTCAAACCGATGACCAACTCATGCAAATGATTTGTGTGAGAGCGGTGAAGGCTTCTAGCTTGACGTGAAGCTTCAACTATAGAAAATGTGTCAGATTATTATTCACGCTGGTTTCTTGGTGTCTGAATATAACTATATGCTGCACAACCTCAGTTTACTTAACAAAATAGTTTTATGTATTGGTAATAAACAGACCTAAATTATTTTGAAGAATAGTTCAGTTGATTTGATCAGCACATGGAGATTATAATAACTAAACAGTATTTTGTAGCAAAACTGACTGTTGGGTAAAACCTTGTATACCAATTCAATTCAGATCAATTCAGTTTATTTATATAGTTCCAAGTCACAACAGAAGTTATCTCAGGGCACTGAACAAACATTCATCTATATAAAAAGCAAGTTAACATAAATTATATAAGGAGCAGACTGCTTTGACTTTAACTTCATCGCAGACTCTCTTGAGCAAGCATGAAGGCGACAGTGGAAAGGAAGAAACCTTCAGCAGAACCAGGCTCAGGACAAGCGGCCATCTGCTTCGACCGGCTGGGTTTGATAGGAACAGATACACAATGGCAGGTTGAGAATCACGTTAAGATAAAAATTTGTTCAAATTAAAACTATAAAATTAATAATAATAATAAAGTGTTATATGTTGTCATCATTGTGTGTTTCCATACAATGGTGAAATTGGCTCGCTGCATTTAACCCATTCACCCCGAGGTGGAGCAGTGGGCAGCTGTTGAAAGTGCCTGGGGAGCAAGTGGGGATATGATGTTTTGCTCAGAGACACCACGAGATGTGCAATGACTGGGAATCAAACCTGGGACCTTCGGAGTCTCGAGCTGGCTGCCCTGCAACAATTCATTATGAGAAATTAGGTAACTTTGTCCTCCAGTAGTCTAAGCCTACGGAAGCATAACAAGTCAACCCAAACTATAAAATGTATCAAAAAGGAAAGTGTTAAGCCCAGTCTTCAAACTGGACAATGTTCCAGCCTTACGGACAGAAACTGAAAGTTGGTTCCACAAGAGAGGAGCCTGATAACTGAAAGATCTTCATCCCATTCTGCTCTTAGAAACTCTAGGAGCAGCAAGCAAGCCTGCAATCGCAATTTGAGATCTAAGTGCTCTGTTAGGAAAATATGGAAGAATAAGATCTATAATATAAGATGGAGCTAGGTTGTTGAGAACTTTGTAGGTTAGAAGTAAGATTTTGAATTCAATTCTGGATTTGAAAAGAAACCAATAGAGAGAAACTAAAACTGCAGATTAGGGGTTGAATGACTTCATAATTTTTAAACTCTACATTAACATAATAAAACTCGAGTAGAACTCGAGTACTTGATGACATCATAGGATCTAAAGATACAAAAATAAATAAATAAATAAAACTGCAAAAAAGGTCATTATTTCAAAAAAATAAGACCACAAACATTGGGAGCGTATATTATGCTCCTACCATTTATCATACAGCAAATAAGTCACAGGAAAACCTAAACTATTAGTTATTAATATTAAGCTGCAAAAGTAAAAGAAACGTCCGGCACGTCAAAAACAAAACTAAAAACAGTGGGGGGGTCGACCACCCCGCACCACCGCCAGCTGTGGTGCGCATTAGGTTTAGTTTTAGAGATTAATATGTTTATAGATTTTTTTTAATAGGTTTAGAGATTTTTTGCTTTTTGTTTGTGAAACAAGGTCAGAGGAAGCTGGTTCTGGTTCGGTCGATTGGACCCGGTGTTACACCATATTCTGTGACCTGCAACAGTGCATGCAACACCGTCTCCTACAGTCACAATATACGGTGGTCACAAAATATGGTGCAACACCGGTTCGCAACACGCTCCAAATAGTCAGGAAGTTGTTTCATTTTCTATTTGCTTACGGTAGTTTAACCGGAAGATTCATCTTTAGTGAAATATTTCCATATTATTGATGCATTTCTACCTGTTTGTCAAGACTGGGTCTGCTCTGCTCCATCCGTCTGCTTGGAGGAATCCATTTTGTAACCTGCGCCTGTGCGAATCACCTGATGCAATGACGTAACGGTGTCGTAATGACGTCACCACGAATACTCGACCTGAAATTAAAAACCTCGAAAGGTGCCCTAGGAATCGATGTGTAGATTACTCGAGTAGTTTGTTAAAGCCCTACTGCAGATATATGATCTCTCCTACTGACTCCAGTTAAGACTCTGGCAGCAGCATTTTGGATCAACTGAAGACTTTTTAAAGAAGTGTTTGGACACCCAGATAATAAACCCTTGCAATAGTCCAGTCCAGACGTAAGAGCAAACAAAATATTTTTGTACAAACAAGGATTTATATTTCTGTGAAGCACCAACGTAAAGCTTCCATGCAGTAAACAGCTCCAGGACTCCGATAGATATATTGGACTTCAAGTCAATGTTCCGAACCCGTAGCAGAGCTTTGATCCAGCAGGCAGCCATCAGTGATCGAACGAGCTGCAGAAAAGAGGATTAACGAGGAATTAAAAAAAAGTTTGATTTCTGGACATGTTTATCCAAGCGTCATTTCTGAAAACTGACCCTAAAAGTTTTAAATTTAAAAACTTTCAACCATATGTTCTGATTCTTACGTCAGCTTTCACTGACACAAGCAGCTGCTCGCATTCCATCCGGTCCTTAGTGTCTGTATTCTCCTTAACGTTCGACAACAGTTTTATAAAGCACAGAAAAGTTAGAAATACTCCACAAAGGATGCTTTAATATGCCTTTTCATTTCCATAGGGGAGACGCAGCCCCCGTCTTTACTGGTGATGATCAAAGACTTAGAAGTTTTTGCAAAGCTTTCAGGATGTGTCGCTGTTGAAAACTATGAAAAATGGCTTCTAGCATTCTGTGTTTACTCAACATTGAAATAAATCTGTCATAAAGTAATCACTGCTGTTCTAGCAACAATATTAGATAATTATAACCTTTTTTTCATTTCATATTTGAAGAGTACAAGGCACTGAGTGTTATAAACTGTCACTCGAATAATTAAAGCAACACAGAACGTCACTTCAGATTTAATTCCTCTTCCTTGTGTGTATAAAAGATTTATTCACCAAGTCACACAGTGTATTAAGATAAATATGGCTTTTGTTTTCTAAATGAAACAAACAGCAAATCGCAGCTTACTTCATGGTCGAGAGTCATATACAGGTACATTTCTTTCAGCTGCTTCCTTCTTCACTGAGTGAAGTTGAATTAAAGATTTGACCATTTAACGCCGGATTTCCTTCCTGACACAACCTGAGCTCAAACCTGCAACCTCATTACAGAACCGCATAACTGACCACCATACAGATGTGTCTCAAAACATTAGAATATA